ACGTATGCCCAAACAGCGAGAGAGGAAGTAGGAAAGCTCTCACGGAGAAGCTGCACACTCAACAGGACAATAGTCGAAGTTTGAAGCAGCCCAGATTTGCCGAAACCACCCTAACAGCGAGGTTGAGCTTGTTTTTACCAGAGAACGACGAAGCAGCCGAAGCCGCTCCATGGATTCCCACGTGGAAGCACAAACAAGACTGCGGGAAACCCATGTCCAAAAGTGCACCACATCCAAACTGAACAGAGGCCGAACCACTGTGAGTGAGGATTTTTGTTGTGAAAGAGTCGTCATCGAGGTAACAACAACACCAACCAATTCCGAACCTTGCTCCGGGAGCGAAGAAGAGGAAGAGGATGGCGGGATGCACCCAGAAGACACGGCCCAAACGGCGGTGTCGTGACGGAACATCCGGATCGTACTGCGAAAATGGCGCGAATCGTTCAGTTAACGGCGGGTGCGGAGCCGTCCGAATGCGCTGGTGCGTGGAAGGGTTAACTTCGTCACGGTGCTATGGAGAGATGACATCGGAACGTCATCACCAGAAGGCGGCAACGAGATCTGCGCTCGGGAGGCGGCGCATTGCGTCTTAGAAGACTGCGTACTCGCTGGAGGGCGTTGCCCAACAAATTGAAGCCGCGCCACCGAGAATGGAGATCGAGCGTCGGGGTCATCGGCCTGAAGGCCAATGCCCCAAGCACGGTCCAAGGGACGGGCTTCGGCAAGGATTTTGTCACCTGATCCGAGAAGATGATCTGGTACTCGGAGTTTAGACTAAAGTTTGCGTAAGAGCCAGAGAACACAATGTCTTCGCGCTCTCGTTCCCAAAGAGATCGATAGGTCGTCACCTCGGACCTCACGGCCAAAGTTCTTGTGTAAGGCAGGGTCGGACACTCGTATGATGTTCTGCAAAGCTCTGTGTTCTTCGACAAGACGAGCTTTTTCCGCAGCGAAACGTTTCCCAGCACACAAGTAAACACCTCCATTGACCACAAACGTCGATGGTTTCCATTGGGACAAAGGAGAGGGTGGTTTCCAAAAGAACCCCACGTCTGGAGCAATACTCTGTAGACGGGTCGAAAACAGCCGGAGCTGAGGGGGCGGAGCGCCGTGAGTGCTGTCAGCCGAAGGTGGGGTCGCAGCCGAAGCTGTGGCGGGCAAAACGCCCGTGTTGTGATTGACGGCATGGGTATCCATAGGGATTGTCCCGGCAACCGCGGGGACTGGCGAAGAATCGGCCGAAGTCGGATTGTCCGCAATAATTGGGCCAGCAACGTGGTGCTGGGAGCGTCCAAATTCTAGACCTGAAATGACGCCTCGTGAGGGGTCCTCCAACAGGCCGCTTTCGCTGGGAACGGCTACCAACACGGAGTCGGTTGATGAACTGGACTGGGCGTGGTGCTCCTGGCCATTCCCTGACAAGGTAGGCGAGACCACGGCTGTTCGGAGGTCACTCCGGGAGGGTCCTCCCGAAGCGGTGGTGTCAACACGGTCGGCGTCGGTCGCATCTGCCTGATAGAAGGCGCCTCTGTGCAAGTGTGCGTCGAAAGAGATGAGGCTTGTAAAGACGACCCATGGTCGAAATACCGCGTGGCGAAATCTGATAAAGGTCGATGGTCGGAACAAGGGGAACACGGTGATTCTAAGCCAGGCGAATTTTGCCCCTAAACCTTGCCGGCCGGAACCAGTCAAGTTAGCTATCGGTGCCACGGCCGAGGGCGGACCTTCAACGGAAGCATGAACAGACGAACGAGCGGTTCTCAATGGCCCCGAAGGTCCTACGGGTCTGTTCCCGCACTTCAAGTCAGTACTCGCGCCAGGCTGGTTAGCTTCTGACGGAGCATCAATCCGAAGAGGCAAGGGTGCAGAGGTCGCAGATGGCAAGTGTGATGATGAAGGCGGGATGTGAGCATGTGGCTGAATACCGACCTGATCGATTCTTGAAGAAACACCGTGTACCGGGTATGGTTGTAACTGCATAGCACTGAATGCTAGAGGCAGTAGAGTGTGTAGGGATCACATTCACCGAAGTATTGTTGTCGTTGCGAAGAACCGAAGTGATAGATGCAACAGGGCACAACGGAACAACAGGTATTATTGTTGGTGTTGCGTACAACCGAAGTGGTAGAGGCAACAGAGCGAGACACACGTGCGTCTTGTGATGAACGAGACGAAGTTCCCGAATATGCTGGAGGCGGTCCGGGGGAAGGAGTTGGTCCGGGGGAAGAAGGCGAACCACCGTCGATGAGTCATCCGATGCGAGAACAGCCACCATTTTGGAAATCACCAGGATGACGAGCGTTGTGGTTGGTCGAAACCAAGATGCCAGACTAAGAACCGGTTTGGGCGTTCGGGTGGGGTCGATAGACTTACAGTAGCTACCCGCAAATTTTTCCGGGGTGTGACCACTGACTGTTATTTATGTGACTGCGGCTGGTGATTGCGAGGGGAACTACCACTGTCGGGACGACGATTCCCAGCGTGGTCTCGACGCTGAGAGGAGGAGGAGGAAGAGCGCTGGTTGCGTCTACCCTGACTGTTGTTGCGGCCGGCCGAAACTTTTCGGCGGAAGGCCTCATGCGGCCTTGCCAGCGCCGAAAAGCAACAGAATCGTCGTTGAGATGACCCAACTCGGGATTCAACAACCCACTAGAATCCGTGAACGGCGAAGAGCATTTATTCATGGAATAGCCATCACCCGAGCAGTTCAGGCAGTGATTTCTGTTTTCGCGAAAGTCTTGCGATCGAGCCTCTTGTGTCAACAAAGAAATCCACAAAAATGGGTCGCCTGTGTTACGAAAAATAGAAGTAAGGGCGTATACATCAGACCAATCGGCTTGCGAGGCAGAATAAGAATTGTTGTTACGTGTGCAAGGGTCGGCATCGTGAGAAATACCCGCAAAACTACAGCGTTCGGTGCAGAACCAGATGCCCACAGACCCGAAGGCGCCGGAGCGCGGTGGTTTGACCGCCGAGGCTGCGAGGAGCCACGCGTCGATTACAACGAAAAATAAGATGGACCACCGATAGCCTTGGGGTTACGGTTAGGTTACTACCAAGAGAGACATTTCTCCATCGCGGTTAACATTTCGTTGCTCAAGCCTCACGGTGGTTTGGGTCCCTTCAATAAAAACTCAAGCTGCTGTTTCTGTCTGCTTCGGCGAACAGGAAAGCTTTAAAGTACCCAAAACACTCTCTCCCCATCCATGCCCCCCAAAGGCGGCAAGGAAAACTTGGTGTTTCCAAAATTGGTTCACTAACTAACACGGATGGATACGAACAGGCCCGCGGGGCTAAGGAGTCAGTCCTTTTCGAAGCTACGGCTGAGCAACCAAAACGATTCACGGAAGCGAAGTCGGTTTCAGGACGAGTCACTCACATCGTCACCCGGTCTTGTCTGTGGGTCTAGACGACAACAACAGCGGAACGTCGCTGAATGAAACCAAAACACAATCTTTCCAAACCCCTACATTCCGTGAAGGACGTTCGTCAGGAACATTCATTCATCATGATGCAACATACGCGCCCATCTCTTACCATAAACATATTTGTCTTCGTGAAGCCAGAAACCTTCCAGCCCAAAAGAGGCCCCGACCCTAGAACCGAAACCCAACCTCTCGATAACCACTCGCGGCCGGAAACAAGGTAACATGAAACAAGCAAAATAACCCACCATTTCACCTCGCCGCGAAGAAAATCTCTTGACAAATGTCAGGAAACAAGTTGTGTTTTCGACGCGGCACAACCATACACATAGCAAGCAACCAAACACCGGCGGGGATGAGCGAACGGACTTTCGAACTCGCTCCTCTACTACTTTTACAAGAAACCCCGTACGCGTGTGTGCACGCACTCCCCCGTAGAACAGCGCTCCCACTCAAGAACATGCCAGTGAAGAACTTCATGCCCTAAATCTAGTTAAAACATACCACACAGAACTTGAACACCACTGTGAGACAGGCTAGAACCCCTACCCTAAAAGTATAGCGGGATATTTGAAGCCTAACCCTATGAACCAAGAACCCCAGCCTCGCCAAAAACTAGCGGTCCTCAAGTGCGGCCGCTAACTGTCCACCGACGTATCCGCGCAAGCGTACCACATCTACCCAACGGGCTCTCGATGTCTCCGGGGACCATTCGAATATTCCACGGCCGCCTCAACGGCCGCCACCCTAGGCCTCCTGTCCCAGAGAATCTTGCCCATGCCAAAAAACATCGCGCTCGACACCGTCGACACCACCGCGATCAACATCTCGTTCGTCCAAAGGTCTTCGGCGCTGTCGCTGTCGCTGTCGCCGGTGTCTTCAATAGAGAAGAAGCGACAGATTTGGGATGTTTGGACGTGGGGACAGGGCATCGATTGGTGGTGAAAATGGGCAGCAAGCGCAATCGTGTTGGACTATGATCTCGTTCCACCAAGAATCGACATGTCGTCGTATATGCGCTGTTTACATAGCCTTGTTGGCTTTTGGGCCTTTCGCGCTTTTTCGGCCCGTTGAGCATGCACGTGCCTGGAGTTTGTCCTCTTCTCTACTCATCGAACTTTTCGGGTCGTTGCTCGGACACCGAACCGTTCGAGCCATTGTAACCTACCGCAGAAGTACATTCGTTCGTGCAAGCTCGAAAGAAACCCATTCGAATCGCAACGGTGGTCGGTACCTACGAGTCGACCAAACGCTTGTCACCAACTCCCTATTGCCGTTGTAATAATGACTACTTCGAGTTTGACCGATACAATCGGGCCAGTCAAGAAACCACACACATTGAAGACGTAGCTTGCTTCCCTGTCTCTCTCCGCCCCTTCGTTTTCGCGCTTCACGCGAAAAAATATATATTTTGTTGAAACCCTTTGCATTGGAGGTGAGCCAAAAAGTAAGGACATGTTGTGGAAGCGGAGGCCGTGAGCAATAACTCGTGTCTCCAAAGGTCGTAGGGGGTGCTTCCGAAATTGACGTGTTTCACTGCTTACGGCGGCCCCGTAATGCATTACTGACAGAACTTCACTCCTCCGTGTGGTCAATGGTACGAGTAGACGGTGGTGTCTTGTCTCCACCTCCAATGGGAATCAGTCAACTCACGAAAGAAAGGACAACGGTGCCATTCAACCCCTCAAACACAGCGGTAATAGTCCTACCTGCAGCTGGGTCGGCTGTGACGAGGCCAGATGTGGGCGAAGAAGTAGGAGGAGCGGGCGACAGGAGCGAGCCAGGGATGGATGTCCGTCAGCGATGCCGTTGCAGGGTTCAGTTTCGACGCGGGGGTACAGTGGCGGGGAGAAGGGAGAAGGGGGGAGGGTGTGACAAACCGAAAAATTGTTGCCATGCAAGGGTCCAATATCGTTTTCGTCGTCGTACGGGCGGTGAGCGCACGCAGCGCTCGAGATGATACACCAGCGCATGCCAACATTCGGTGACCGGCAAGCTTCGTGGCACCAAGCATCAGCCAACCGTGCACTGCCCGGGACACGAGGGTAGGTAGAGGCCTGCCTTGAGTGGAGAGAGGAAACGGGACCATCATCAATCCACGTCCTGCCCATCCATACCGAAGAATCGCGCCACACAAGCAAGCGTTCTACAAAAAGACCTCATATTTCCAGCGACCTCTCTTCCCCCTTCTCCCAAGTCCCCTAGTTTTAGCTCTTGTCTCACATGTGACATCGGTCGGAGAAGGGGCTACGGCCGGCGCCGTCGTACGTGTAGCATCGCTGCCGCCATCGTCATCTTCGATTTCTATCAGGAGGTTCTCGTACCAGGTCACGTGGCCGTCATCCCGGTTTGCGGTCGCTATATCAAAGTCGCCGTCGCCGTCGAGGTCAACAGCGATCAACTGAAGCGGCGTTGTTGAGATGGGGGTGGGCAAGGAGCAGGCATGGCAGTACGTCAGGGATGTGCACGGTCAAGCATCATGCTTGACATTCCGTCAGGGTTGTGCATGGACAAGGATGAGAACCGGGGCATGAACGGCGTTGCGTCGGTTACGAGGGTTCAAAATTCTGCGCTCTCTTCACCCTGCCTGCACGAGGGTTTCGCGATTCTCGACGTCGAAGCATTGCGATACATCTGCTGACAGGGCACACTATGGTGGGAAGCATGAGGTTGCACCGTGTCCAAAACAACAACAACAACAACAATAACAACAACGCCTTTGCTGTCTGCGAGAACCCCAGCACACATCGGCTGTGCCCACTCTTGCCAACACCCTTGCGAACATTATTCGTCCTTGTACTATTCGTCGAAAGGAACACTGATTTTGAGCGAGGCTCGAACCTTGTTTTGTCCCCAGCACCGAGCAAAGGCTTCTACGTAGGAATTACTGTAGCGCCGGCCGCATTGCTCAGTTTCGTAGAGCATTTTCATAAGCTTGCCCAAAATCTGACCCTCGGTTTCTCACGAACACAAGCGGGTCGGCACCGCATGGTCTGGAACACTCACCCAATATACCCCAACATCGGTGGTGATGATGACCTCAGAGAAATTCCCCGTCCCGTCCGTGTTCTCGTACCACACGATGGACCCCCCCACGCCGTCGCAGGTCACCAGATCTATGTCCCCGTCGTTGTCTAGGTCCACGGCCACCACGTTCCTCGCAGACTCGAGCAAGCCGATATCCTTCCCCTCCGCGAAGCTTCCCGAGCCGTCGTTCTCGAGCCAGAGAATGCGGCCGTCGGGGAAGCTGCCGGCGGTGTGGTTGCCGTCGAATGACGCTGAGATGATGTCCATGTCTCCGTCTCCGTCGATGTCCGCCGTAACGACGTCCCTTTTTTGTGAAAATGGGAGGCAATACAACGAATCATTTCGACGAGAATTAATCGTACAAACAGACGTCCTGCCGAGTCAACGAGGGCTATCGTGCTTACGTTGAGAGGTGCTTTGCAGCTAGCGTTTTAATCCCCTTAGTCTTTCCCTTTCCTCTGCTTTGGGAACAAATCGAGAATCAAAGAAACCAGAAGCACTACCTCAATGTGACCGAACCTAGAACAACACCAGACCTATCAAACGCAGCAATACTACCAACAAACACAAACATTCACTCACTTGCCACTAGCAGGGTCGTCGGCCGGTTCTAAACTCACGCCCAGAGAAAACGCCCCGTTTGAGTTCTCGTACCACGCCAAGCCGCTGACAACGGACGCCGAAACGATGTCGAGGTCGTCGTCGCCGTCCAAGTCTGCCAAAGCCAGCGTGAAAGCACCGTCAGCGGTCGTCGAGATATCAACGCCGAGCGCAAACGTCGCCTCCCCGTCGGTGTTTTCGTACCACGTGACTCGATCTGGCGACGGCGGCGGCGGCGCGAGTAGTTTGTTTCGGAGACGGGATAGGGCGGAGCACATGCGTCGATGGTGACGACTTGGGGGTCATTCATGCGACAAATGGCGGCGGAACCATACCAGCCACCGATAATACGGAAAGAGCAAAGCACGTGCGTCGAACGAGGGGTCTGGCGACGACTTGGGAGGCATTCATGGCAGTGGAACCACACAAACCGCCGATGATACCAGCAGACTCATGTCGCCATCCATTACTGGGCGTTTGCTTTGCTTTGACGGCCTCAAGCTCGTATGCTTGAACCATGTACCATGTTGCCCACCCTCTGCGCCGGAGTCCATGCGGGCACGTAGGATCAGGCTCGCAAGTGCCGCGGTCGTTCACAGCATCCCTCTGTCGTCGTGCTACTACTACTTTGAACCGATTCTTCGTTCTAGCCTAACGAACCCCCCCTTGTGGTGGGGGCCTTTGGTTGGGGCCAGTGTGAGATTTTAGGACTGGGCTTCGGGCAAGAATTTTCGTGCCTTGGACAGCTGCACCACATCGGAGATGAGCTAAAGCAACGACACTTGAGGAAGTAACGGCAAACATTTCCCAACAACAACAAAACATTCCAAGCATGAGAGTACACATCAGACGACTCAACGGCTGTCCAAGTACGAGACACGCTTACCGCCTTGTTTCGATGCCATAATCACGTCCAAGTCCCCATCCCCGTCAAGATCCGCCACCTTGACAAAATTTGAATGATCCCCGTCTTCATACGTATCGATGTCAGTGCCGACCGAAAATTCGCCCAGGCCGTCGAGATTGCTAAACCACGTCAGCTGGAAGGAAGTCTGAAAGGCTACGACGACATCAGGGGACCCGTCGCCATCCAGATCCCCGACGTCAATCGATCTGGTTTGGGCGGGCGGAGACGGCGCCGGGAGGTGTTCGTAGAGTACGGTGTGCATGAGATGTGGTAGCTAGGTTTACGAGATCATTTTTGTTTTGTCCATGGTTGTCAATCTTGTCTTTGGAGGGACAGCAGAAGTAGTATGTCATGTTGTGCGGGTCAGAGAGCCCCAGCTCCGCGCAGGGTGCGTGGTCGCAGCATACGCAGAGATGATGAGGCCAAGGCGGCTTTCCATATGTAGCACCCCCACGATTGACTGCTGTCTCAGGAGAAGACGAAGCTACCTTACTACGGAGAGCAACAGGAACCAACTTCCCAACTGAACAGCGATGACACACCACGCGAGAGAGAAAAACAAAAACATGGCCGAGAAAGGTCGTACAGCTAGCGCGCGTCAATCCACTTACCCTGCTCCACCGTAGCCGGACGCGACGTCCATCGCTTCCGAGAACGCTCCCTTGCCATCCTCGTTCTCGTACCACCTCACCCAATCATTCCAGTAGGATCCCACCAACAAGTCCAGGTCCTCGTCACCGTCCAGGTCTGCCGCAAAGATAACAACGACATCCTCGGCTTCCGAGTCGATCTCCCACCCGTTTTTGAAGGCCACCGTCCCAGCGCCCTCGACGGGGAGGAGTCGAGATGATGCAGTCAGGAGGCCCAACAGACAACACGCAGCAGGAAGACGCCAGCTTCCCGCTGAGTTTGATTTTGGGGGTGGTTGCGTGTTTATTGCGATTCGCCGAGGTAAGCAGGCGCCGAGAGAGAGGTCGCACGTTGGAGGGAGGCGAGCGCGCGGGGTGGGGGCGGGGGCAGGGAGATGCACGTGATTTAGGAAGCATTGATGTATCCTCAAGCTATTCTCCACGGGGCAACCAGGAGGCTACTTTTCGACGAAGAATTCATCTTCGAACTACATACACAAACGAGGTGTATCATCCCCAAGTCAGGTCGTCAACTGGTGAGATCGCTGAGGAGGACGTCGAGAAGGCCTCCCCACGCCCGGACCCAATATATTAATAATAACATGCCCCCTCCACAACTTGCGCAAGGATGGGGCAACATTCTCTTCTGCTCCCGCATGTCAGAGTGAATCTGGTCAAGTTACGCTTTCACCACATGGCGGTATTGCAATGACTGGTGAAAACAAGTCGAAGACGCGGGTATACATGGACTACCTATGGCTTGACGTGAGCCTCCACGTGGGTGGTATAATTGTGGGGGCATGGCATGGCCGGTGCAAACCTGTGGCGGCGGTGAAATGCACTTGATCGTGGTGACCTTTGCTTCTATTGGCTAGTTTATGTTATTGCTGGTTGGCCTCGCGTGTCGAGTGTGAGAAATGGCTCTGTGTGTTGACATCCTTTGTCGGTCTTCCATGTCCGACATAGTCTAGCTCCTGCTGCCAAGTTTGACGGGGATGTCTGGGCGGTTTAGAAAAACTGTCAGTAGTGTAAGAGATTGTGTGGCGACGACTGCTTCTCTCTGTCGTTGGTCGTAACATATGCCATATGGTATACAACAGGCGTTGCACATCATTCATCGTAAGGGAGCCCGCACATACTTGCTGCATGTAGACACGGCACAAAAAACGCGGCACAACACTGAACGGCGGAGATGGTCGCGGAATTCTAAAGGAGGAAAATTCGTGAATCATTCCTTGGCGCGGATGGATGTGTGGTACACCAAAGAGATTAGCATCCACCCGAGTCCTCTTGAAACCAAACCTCGCGGCCATCATTTCGTGTTGATGTCGTTATGTGTCGCGCTACAAAGTGTAGGTAATGTGCGTGTGTGCGATGAAAAAGCAGGGCCGGAAGCACACGTGCACACCGCCAACATCGCCAAAAGATTAACCAACGTCACGGTATACTGAGTGGAGTTGAGAACCGTTCGTTGACGTTTATGATGTTTTCACATGTTCGTTCATGTCGTGAAAGAACGTTCCTGGGTCCGCTTCTTCTCTTCTCATCACCTTCCCATGCCCGCCTCGATCCGCGGCGGCGTGCAGGCTGCCCCGCCATCCTGCTGACTTGAAGCGGTTCTTGCAGAGTAGTTGGTGGGCATTCGTCTTCTTCCTGTCGTCGCTGTTGGAGTAGCCGGGGAGAGCAGCAGCAGTGCGGAGAGCTATCCATTTTCATGAGTCAGTGTGCTCACTGCAATCTCGACGGAATGGAGCGATGTGGCCTCCCCACAGAGAGAGCTTTTCCTCGTGCGACGAGGTGCTGCTGCCGACCACTCGACGGAGGCCCCGGTAGTTGCTCTAGTCGAAAGCGGCGAGGAATTGCGACGTGTGACTGGATAGACGAGTTGGTTGTGTGTGTGAATCGAAATGGGATATGATCGTCGGACGGGTGTGTGTGTACTCCAAAAATATGGCCTCCAATATCATTGCAAGATCCAACAAGTTGTCGCACGTCGGGGGGTTGTCTTGTTGTAATAATCTTCTTCACGTTTGCCCGTTCGGATCTCTCTACCCACAGCAGTATACCTTCATCTTGCTTGGCGGATAATCCCCGCGAGGTGCGCACAAGGTTCAAGAATGAACTATTCATATTTGCTTTTGCCTGTGTGCACACATTCGCGGTCATGTGCACCATCGACGGATAGAGGCATCGCAGCGAGTAACTACTATTTATACCAGCTCTGTCTGGTATTTAGCGGTCTTAATGTGTTTCAATCCGAACTGAAGTATAAGGCTATCTATAGATTAGATTTGTATTTTTTTCCACGGGACTGTGCAAGACTGTGAAGAAAATTCGTAGGGCTGTAAGAAGACTTTGCACTGATTCTCAGCAGCTGTCGCGTCGTGCATCGGGCCAGTCGTGACATGTCTCATCGAACAGCCCGGCAGAAGACGTCAGCTTCAACCAAATACGTACGCAATGACGGCTGTTCGTCACGTTCAACCAACAGTTGATTGGCCACACCAACAAGCACGTCTTCAGAATAACCAGTGGCGGACCAGCTGGCGCCGCTCGATCAATTCGTCGTTCTGCTGATGATGGCCATGAGGCCATGATTGAGTCCGACTGCTGAATGAACAACACACAGCAGTCAGCCCCAAGTTTGTATGTAGTTTCCAGCAGGCGTAGAGCAATAATTAATATACATGTCGTGGCAGTGTCAGCAGAGATGCTGAGCAGTGCACACATCTCCGTGCAGACCGCCGAGCCCGCGTCAGGAGGCCGGCACGCCGGCACATGCAATGCACATATATTCACATCCATCCGATCGGCTGCGGGCTTTCAACCCAAAAACTCTAGAAGAAACTCCAGAACTTCTTTTTGCAGCCAAAATCCTCCAGAAGAAGGATCTCTTGTAGAGTATCGATGAGAAAGCTCGCGCCGACCTCCCAAAAATTGCGCGAACCTATTTTTTCTTGGTGCACAGCTGTGTGTGGTAGAAGAGTAGGATATACGCATGTATCTGTTTCCCTGTGTTTGCCTTTTGCATGTTCTTGCACCACCCCTTGCCGCGGTACTCTCTTTACCCCAATCCGGAGGAGGGATGCACACACATAACTACATATGGCATACACATCACACATACATCATGCATCATGCATGCGGCATGCGGGGCGTCAACAAAGAAAAATCCAGAAAAAATAACGCCGCACATCATTCGTCGTTCGTTCTGCTGTGGCCATGTCTGACTGCTGAATGAACTACATACGTACGCACAGCAGCAGCAGAGAGCAGCCCCATGTGTGCAGTTTCCAGCAGCGCAGTCTAGCAATGTTTGTCGTGGCGGTGTCAACAGAGATACAGGGAAGCACACATAGCAGCAGTATACAGTAGCCATCCATCCATCCCCGCGCGTCTGCGGGCTTTCAACCAAACTAAATTGTAATGGAGCAACTACAGTAGTGTATTTGCGTTGTACGAGCGTTTCATGAACGTTGTATGAGCGCTTATTGGATATTTTGAATTTTCTTTGGATATGGATATTTGGCGACGTTGAGGGGTATTGAAGTAGCTTGAAGGAAGATCAAAATCCCAGCCCCGCTCCCTCACTCTCCGAGTGGGCGCTGAGCGGACCTGGTCTAAAGAAGGCTAAACAAGAAGAGATCAAACAACAACTGTGAGTACCCGAAGCCAGGAGCAACGAGCTTGCTCCCTTCCCTCTTTTATTTCTCTGTTCCTCCATAACATTGTGGCGTCGTCTGGCATTTGGACACCGGTCCTTCGCTTCGGTGCTCATCGTTCGCGTGAACGTCTCGCATTTAGGTCTTCTCGATTTTTTTTAGTTACCTGGTTTTAGAGAGGGCACGGTTTTGCTCTCTCTGACTCACTCGGTGGGGCACTTTTTGTTTTGACGTGTGGGCGTTTGCTCCGGTCGTGTGCGCGACGGGCGTTTGCTCCGGTTGTGCGCGCGACGGGTAGCCACCGGAATGACGGGGGAGGTAGCCGCCGGAATGCCGGGGGGGGGGAGGCTTCTGACCGTGGCGGGCACACTCATCTCTCCTACTATGGTCCGACTAATAGCAGGCAAGTACAGTATGGTATCGCAGGACAAAATGTGCCGTTTTTCTAGCAGCCGTGGGCCGTAGATGCGCTTGGAAACCCGTACCCGTTGCAGCCGCCGTTCATGGGTCCTGGGGGTCAACAGTGGCCGGTGACAATGCAGGACCCCATTACTGTCGCTTCTGCCCAAATGTCTGCGGCCGCCATGCCCCCGGTCAGTTCTTTGCCGTCTCACATCGCTGAAACGTCAGTCACAGCGACCCAACCCATCGTTGACCACCCCGAGCCTGAGCTAGAACGTGCACGACAGCTATTGCATCGCATGTCTTTGTCGAGTTTTCCCCAGCAGCGGCAACCGTCGGCGACGGCGTCGCCGTCGGTAGCGGCTTTTGACGTTCCGTCGTCGAGACTGCCGTCGCCGATGTCGCCGCTGTCGGTGCCGTCGCCGCCGGTACCGCCGTTGCAGATGCCACCGCAGCCGGTGCTGCAGCCGTCGGTGCCGCAGGTGCCGATGCCGCAGGTACCGCAGCCGTCGGTGTCGCAGCCGCCGGTGCCGCAATCGTCGGTGCCGCCGCCACCGGTGCCACCGGTGCCGCAGCCGCCGGTGATGCCACAACAGCCCGTGCCGTTAGTAAAGTCAGAGCCACCGTCAGTAGCCTCCGCTTTGCCATCGCATACATCATTTGCCGCTGTGAAAACAGAGGTACCGCCCCCCGCCTCCGTTGTGAAAACGGAGACGACACAGGTTTCTGGAGTGGTACCGACGCTCTCCCAACGTGTTTTTTGCCACAGGAACCACCGCTCTCGGCTATCGCGGTGTCGGTAGCGAGGCCACCGCTGCCGGCCGTGCACGCGGCCGCCAGCGATTCCGCTGATGACCGGGCACTGCCCCTGTCGTCTGCCGGTGCACGCACCGCGCAGGCACAGCTTGATGCAAACGCCGTTGCCGCCGCAGAGGCGTACGCCCTCAGCGTGCGCAAAGGATACGGCAAGCTTAAAGTGAACGAATTGTATGCGGTAGTGCCGCTTCCCCCGGCAGAGTTTTCTGCCTTCGCTCGTTCGACCGAAAGTGTATTGGCTGAAATCCTGTCGGCCGCCGATCCCTCCGGCAAGCAGACCATCAAGTCGCCCTCATGGGTGGCTGGATGGTATGCCCCCTTTCACAAGCGTGTCCTCATGGCCATTTCGAACCCTCAAGGCGCCAATGCCGCAACCCGCGAATTGGTGGATTCTTCGTTTTCTCAGGTGAAACGTTTCTTGGAGACGAAGGACAAGTCGGGGCCTTCGGCATACCGTCGGCTGCTCAAACTGCTCGCGGATGAGTGGGAACCGAAAGGTTTCAACCGGGGCATCGACAAGCTGCAGGATTTTGGTGTGCCCAACGGCACGCCGTACAGCAAATTCGTTACGAAGTTTAAGGCGTTAGCAATGTCGGAGTTGGCCTCGCATAGGGCGTTCGCGCCGGATC